AATTATTTATATATGAAAATTAATTTTTTCTTAAGAATTATGTCGACTCAAATTATCATTCCAAAATTTAGAATTAATTAATTTGATAAAATGATTTGTTAAATTTGTTATAAATTTAAATAATACTATAAAGATGACTAAGGGTTATCTGTTAATATTAATGTAGATTCATAAATTCAATAAGCTTTTAATTTCATATAAATTAATTAGATTATAAAAATTAATCCTATATAAAAAAATCTATAAGTCTATCTAAAAAATTATTATTCATCTAATGAATATATATATTAATAATTTTAGATTATATTTTCCAATATTGAATATTGAATTTAATTTATTTATTTAAATTTATTACAAATTTTTAAATTATTCGAAAATTGGAAGCAAACTTTATTATCGATCTTATCAAATCAAAATGATAACTGCTCTGATGATAATTGAAAATAATAAGAAAGAATATGGGAAATAAAATCTTAAAACTAATCAATGTTTGGTATATCCAGGAAATAACAGGATTATTTTATGTAAAGTCTATTGGAGATTGTAAGTGCTCACCATATAAATTCAAAAGAAGTATAACGGTATTACTGAATAATTATTATATATTGTATTTCATTTCATTTTTGTGAATAAAGATGGTTATACTGATATTATTCAAAATCTATTAAAGTAATAAAACTAATAAATAATGTGTTTTCTTCTCAATTTTATCTTTTTTCTTAATTAGATTTCTATCCAGAGTTCTATGGTAAATTCTCTTGTGTATCTCTGATACCCTGATTCTATCCATAGTTCTTACTTTCCAAAAAATTTAAATCTAATATACAAAAGAACCCTTTTTCAAAACCAAACAAAAGTTACAAAAAATATGTAAGAGATTTTTTTAAAATTGATTTTTTGCTGTTCCAAAAATTATAACGAAATTAAGTAGCAAAGGAGACAACGACAAAGGTAAACTATAACAATTTAATTTGTATTAAAGATTGGAAAGATTATCAATGATATTCACTAGGAATTTTGAATAAAGGAATTTGGCTTAGTAAGTGGAATAATCAAGACCACACTATAGTGTAATAAAATCTTTCAAATCTATTTGGAAGAATAATCTTATCTAAGAAACTTGTTGAATTTAAAAATTATATGTAATTTTTATATATAGATAAAATATAAATTCATGGTGTGTATATATATATATTCTATTTTGCATTTTCTCATGCAAAAAAGTTCTCCTTTAAGGAATATTTTTATTCAAATTAATGAAAAAGATTACTATTCTCAATATCATAATATATAAAGTAGATATTTAGATACTTTATGTTAATAACTATTAGATAGAAGCATACAATAATATGATGAAATATATGAGATACTAGAATTAATTGAACTTCTTCTTTCTTTTTCATTTTAACCTTCAAGATTAGTCTATGCTTGAATCTACAATGCTTTTTCTCTTTTTTCCATCTTTTTGATGCAGATTCTAATACTATATCAATGTTCATTAATTAGTTCAACTTCCTTCATCATATCAAGATTCATTATACTTATAGACTTTACAATTTTCTTATTAAATTTTACATTATATGTTATGCTTGATTCAATAAAGCCAATCTAATATTCCTTCTACATTGATTTTCGAATATTTATATATTTGTAATCATAAAAAATATATACTAATTATATCTCATCTTAAACATACTTTTTTTGATGTATACTTATTCATCAGATCAAAATTACTATTACATTAATTCACATTATCTAAAAAATTCTTTTGCGATTAGAATAAGTAAATTGTTCTAATTCATTTGATATTAATAAATATTTAAATACATTAATCTAAAATAGATCATCATGTTTTGATTTTTTGGATCTTTGAGTTGCTTTGGATAGTTTAAAATGCAGATAATCGATGAATTACCCTCATTTCTGCATGATGATTATTCATATATATAAAAAGTTGCTAATTATTTTCAATTACAATTTACTGTTGATTTTGTTTTATCGTGCTTTATTACTTCTAAATTTGTTTGTGTACTATATTTCTTTGCCCGTTAATAGAGCCATGCTAAATTTGCAATCAGTATAGAGACCTGAAAATGGAATGAAAAAATATAAATAGTACATCATATTAATAAATTATTAATAAATAGCAATGAAGATATTATGGACTATTTGGGATTATTATTCATTGATAAAACCAAAAGAACAAGGAATTTATGATATAAAAATTCTAAAAGAATGCCCCATCAAACCGATAATATACTTCTCTCCAAGATGAGCCAAAGAATAAAGAAAGGATTAAAAAGAAAGCCTCATATGTAAAATTAGAGAAAAGAGTAAAATTTGATATATCACTAGAAATTTGTAAAAAAATCGCTATATTTAAATGACTTAAAATGATGCTTCCACTCCAATAATTTAAGAAAGTTTGGGTCCTTTTCCATAAATAGGNAAAATATAAATTCATGGTGTGTATATATATATATTCTATTTTGCATTTTCTCATGCAAAAAAGTTCTCCTTTAAGGAATATTTTTATTCAAATTAATGAAAAAGATTACTATTCTCAATATCATAATATATAAAGTAGATATTTAGATACTTTATGTTAATAACTATTAGATAGAAGCATACAATAATATGATGAAATATATGAGATACTAGAATTAATTGAACTTCTTCTTTCTTTTTCATTTTAACCTTCAAGATTAGTCTATGCTTGAATCTACAATGCTTTTTCTCTTTTTTCCATCTTTTTGATGCAGATTCTAATACTATATCAATGTTCATTAATTAGTTCAACTTCCTTCATCATATCAAGATTCATTATACTTATAGACTTTACAATTTTCTTATTAAATTTTACATTATATGTTATGCTTGATTCAATAAAGCCAATCTAATATTCCTTCTACATTGATTTTCGAATATTTATATATTTGTAATCATAAAAAATATATACTAATTATATCTCATCTTAAACATACTTTTTTTGATGTATACTTATTCATCAGATCAAAATTACTATTACATTAATTCACATTATCTAAAAAATTCTTTTGCGATTAGAATAAGTAAATTGTTCTAATTCATTTGATATTAATAAATATTTAAATACATTAATCTAAAATAGATCATCATGTTTTGATTTTTTGGATCTTTGAGTTGCTTTGGATAGTTTAAAATGCAGATAATCGATGAATTACCCTCATTTCTGCATGATGATTATTCATATATATAAAAAGTTGCTAATTATTTTCAATTACAATTTACTGTTGATTTTGTTTTATCGTGCTTTATTACTTCTAAATTTGTTTGTGTACTATATTTCTTTGCCCGTTAATAGAGCCATGCTAAATTTGCAATCAGTATAGAGACCTGAAAATGGAATGAAAAAATATAAATAGTACATCATATTAATAAATTATTAATAAATAGCAATGAAGATATTATGGACTATTTGGGATTATTATTCATTGATAAAACCAAAAGAACAAGGAATTTATGATATAAAAATTCTAAAAGAATGCCCCATCAAACCGATAATATACTTCTCTCCAAGATGAGCCAAAGAATAAAGAAAGGATTAAAAAGAAAGCCTCATATGTAAAATTAGAGAAAAGAGTAAAATTTGATATATCACTAGAAATTTGTAAAAAAATCGCTATATTTAAATGACTTAAAATGATGCTTCCACTCCAATAATTTAAGAAAGTTTGGGTCCTTTTCCATAAATAGGGGAAAAATAAATTTAGATATAGATATTTGCACAGAGAAATGTGGAAAGTTTTAATTTTCATCATTTAAAGGAGTTTCAATATGATCTCTATGATTTAAATTGCGATGAAAAAGATTAAGAAATCTTATGCTCAAAGACTTTCAAACTCGATTAAATTCATGAATACCATGACAATGATGCTTGCTATGAAAACCATTCTGAAAATAATTTATAAAGATTTTGATTTTATATACTTCAAGAATCTTACAATGAACTATCTTCTAGGCTTATAAGATGATTTTTGATTTTATAATTCCTCAAAAATTTTAATTTAAAACGAACTATTATAAATCTTATAAAATTTATTGAATACTTGATCAAATCATTTTTTCTTTTATTGTATAAAATTTTAAATTTGATCTTTTTAAATCTTTGTATATTTAGATTTGATCTTTTTAATCTTTGTATATTTAAATTTATGATAAAAAATGTATTTAATTTGTTTCTGATGGAATTAAATTTCAAAAGCTCATGATTTACTTTTCAAAATAGGTTTAAATTTAATTCCACCATTAATTAATTAATCAAGGATAAGAATAGTTTTTGCTATTTTATTCTTATTAAATAATTTGATTTATAATAAATTTTAGCTTTTATTTTTTAAATATAAATTAGGTGATAACCCAAAAATTATCATAGAGGAGAATTTATAAAAAAGATTTAAATAGTCAAACTGGAAGATATTGGTAATATAAATGATTATCAAAACTCTTCTTATTAGATTGATTATTTTGATGATCAAATTTATGTAGATATTTTATAGGATTTAGAGAGTTCAGAGAGAAACTGGGATTATTTTAGATAGCTTTATTTGAATAGAGAGAAATATATATAAAATAGCAAAGGATAAGATATTGCATATTTATATTGATATATGCCAGAACGAGAGAGTGAAAATTGAAATGAAAATATTTGTAAGAAATTGATTTGAGTGTATAATGATTATATAAGATGGTAGGCTTAAAAATACTAAAAAAAAAAAAATAGGATTGAAAGAGATTAGATTTGATGATGAATTATGATTTAAAGTATTAAATATTATATATTATTGACTTAAATACACAATAATAGTTGGATAATTATTCTAAATTTTTAATTAAGATATGAGATAGTTCGCAATCTCTTTGTTCAAAGTATCGTAGAGACAATTTGGACAATTACCAAAATTCTATTTCTCAAGTAATTGATTAGATAAATTCATTAGAAAAGGTAGTGAATGTACCAACAATGGGTGATTCGATTACAGAAGGAGATGTGAAAGAATTACAAAAAAGTATATTTATTAAATTTGATAGTTAGAGGTTGGAGATTATGTGAATTAAGATGACGTGATTGCATTAATAGAGACAGATAAAGTCACAATAGATATAAGATGTGCTGACTCTGGTGTAATTACTTAGATGTTTGCAGCAGATGGGGCTAAAGTAGAAGTTGGAAAACCATTTTATGAAATTGATACTTCAGCTGCTAAACCAGCTGGAGCTGCAGGAACTCCAGAAACTAAAAAAGAAGAAAAGAAAGATGTGAAATAAGAATAAAAGTAAGAAGCACCTGCAGCTTAAAAGAGCACTCCTGCTCCAGCTGCAAAACCTGCTGAAAAGAAACCAGTAGCTCCAACTATTACAAATACAACTCAAAGAACAGAAAAAAGAGTAATTAACTTAATATGAAAATAGGAACCTATGTCAAGAATGAGATAGCGTATTGCATAAAGATTAAAGGATGCTTAGAATACTTATGCATTACTTACAACATTTTAAGAATGCGATATGAGTGCTGTTATGGAAGCAAGAGAAGCTATGTAGAAGGATTTCTAAAAAAAACATAATGTCAAATTGGGTTTCAGCTCATTCTTTGTTAAAGCTGCTGTCAAATAGTTGTAAGAACAACCTATTGTGAATGCAGTCATAGATGGCACTGATATTGTTTATAGAAATTATATAGATATTTCTATGGCTGTAGCCACTCCAACTGGTCTTATGGTACCAGTGCTTAGAAATTGTGAACGTCTCAGTTTTGCAGATATCGAAAAAGTACTAGACAATTTAATTATTAGACACTTATTGATTTAGCTGAAAAAGGAAGACAAGGCAAAATCTCTGCTGACGATATGGTTGGTGGAACATTCACTATCTCAAATGGTGGAGTTTTTGGAAGTTTAATGGGAACACCAATCATTAATGCTCCACAATCTGCTATATTAGGAATGCATGCCATAGTCAATAGACCTGTTGTCAGAAATGATTAAATTGTAGCTCGTCCAATGATGTAAGATTTTTTTATTATTTTTTTTAGGTATCTTGCCTTGACTTATGATCACAGAATTCTTGATGGAAAGGATGCTGCTACTTTCCTTAAGAAATTAGCTACTTCAATTGAAGATCCAAGAAGAATATTATTAGATGTTTGAATTATCTAAATTTATAAAATCAAAATAGGTTAATTAGATATTCTTATAAAAATATTTCTATTTTTCATAAAATTATGGGTTTGCATTGAAATGTAAAGGATATTCAAATCTAAATCTTTTTAAATAAAATATTTTGTAAAATCTGAAAATGAAGTCATGCAGTGGTACACCAGCTTATGTTAATGCTCCTAAAGCTTAATAAATTGGAGAGAACTTCTACATTCAATAATTTTAAGTGAGTTGTTTGGGTTAATTCTCTTATTACATTGAATCAAACAAAGAAGCTGTAATTATTGACCCAATGAGAGATTATGAAGAATATATGTATCATAGGCCATATGTTTTTTTAGTAAATTTAGTGAAACAAGAAATTCTGTTATCAAATATGTAATTTTGACTCATCTACATGCTGATTTTGTTGCAGGACATATAGATTTGGCTAAAATTACTGGAGCTTAAATAGTACTGGGTCCTTAGGCTGTTATTTAATATTAAGCAAAAATTGCTTAAGATGAAGGTAAATAAGATGTATAACTATTATTAGAATTATTAACTTTAGGAAGTGTATATCTTAGAGTTTTGCATACACCTGGTCATACTATGGAATCTAGTTGTTTTGTTTTAGTAGTAGATGGCAAAGATCATGCAATATTTAGTGGAGATTCTCTCTTTCTTGAAGAAGTAGGCAGACCTGATTTGGCATCTAAATCTTCAGGTTTGACAACTCAATAACTTGCTTCATTATTATATCATTCATTAAGAAACAAGATTCTTAAACTTAATGATGATGTAATACTCTATCCTGGACATGGAGCAGGATCAGCTTGTGGAAAAGCTATAGGAACAGGAACTGTTAGTACTATTGGTGAATAAAAACTCAAAAATTGGGCATTATAAAATATTACTGAGGAGGAATTCATTAAAATATCAACTGATTTACCTGCTCCTCCTCAATATTTCTTTCATGATGTTCAATTAGTAATTATCTCATATATAAATATCTTAGAATCGTTAAGGAGCGAATGATCTTTAAAATATTAAATCAAAAGTTACAAAAGCTTTGAGTTATTAAGATTTTATTCAAATAGCTGCTGAAGGTGTCTTAATATTAGATTCTAGAGATATTGTTACAAAAGGAATTATCAAAGGGTCTGTAAATATTACCTAAGTTGCCACTCTTGCTTCTTTTGTAGGTATACTCTTTAAGCCTGATCAAAAAATTATTATTGTTGCAGATGAAGGCAAGGAAGAACTAACCATTATCAGATTACTTAGAATTGGATATGAAAATATTCTTGGATATTTAGAAGGAGGATTTGATAATTATGTTAGAAATGGAGGAGAAGTTTAACAATTAAATATTGTTGATTTAAAAGATTTCTTAGATACCAAAGGACAATCAGAAAATCATGTTTTTATTGATTGCAGAAATCCAGTTGAATTTAAAACCTCAGGAATTATTCCAGGATCTTTAGTGATTCCATTATTTTAAATAGAAAATCAAGTAAATATCAATCTTATTTTATTTAGCTTGATTTGATTCCTAAAGATAAGACATTACATATCTACTGTCGTTCAGGAGCCAGAGCAAAAACTGCTGCTACCATTCTATTAAAACATGGTTATTCTGACTTTGTTCTTATTTAGAATGCTGGTCTTGAACATATTGTCAATGAACATTAAATTCAAGTTCAAAAAGTAGAATGATTTCTAATTATACATAATAAATTAAATCGTATATATATTTTCAAATATCCTAACAATTCAACTTATCATTCTTATTAGAAAATCTGTTATAAAGAAAGAACAAATTTATTCGATTAAACTTTTAGAATGTAATTCATCATTTAGTTGCTTTACTAAATTCTAATTAGTGTAAGTCATGTATTTTTAAAAACAACAATTAGATTTTGAACAAATTTATATTGTAAAAACTTAATGTTCTTCAATTATTATCGGAGTATTTATCTAGAGTAAATATTTATTTTTTTAAATAGGTCTCTGCTTTACAAGTAGATCATGAATTATTTTCAACTCTTATTTATGTATTAATTCATTATTACTATTAAGATAGATTGATATTTTAATCTCTAAATTTCTCTAAAGATTTAATCATATACATACTCGTTATCTCTCTATTGGTAGTAAGTAAGGGATATAAAATCCTAAGAGCTAAAATCTCTTCAAACTTATTGCACTAAACCCGATTGGTTTTGATGTTAAAATATAGGACTAATCAATTGATCTTTCTTTTAGTCGAGGGATTATTTATAATTATTAATGTTTTATGATGCTTAAATTTTTAGTATATTAAATTAAATTCTAAATGTCTTGTAATGCTTCAGAAAAATTGATTTTTTTTACATCATCCAAATAATCCGAAAATTCTTTAATTATAATAGTATTGATTCCTGACTATTCAAAGTTATAATTAACATATTTATTGAACTCTTAAATAAGTTGCTTTAGTTCTTAGATAAAAAATCTTTTTTTGTTTTGCTTAATTACAAAATTTTATTAAAAGAGTTAGTACAAATGATATTAAGAATCAAATCTATCTTTTAATTAAGCAATTTGGTTTTCCATAGTATCAAAGATCTCTAAAATCTTATGTTTCAATGTTTTTATACTATTAAAAGCTTCTTAAAGACAAGCTTATTAGTCAACTTTATTGTGAGATTGATAGTAGAGTTCTGATAAAAAATTATAAGCATTTTCAATGAGTAAATATTCAGAATGTTTGTGAGAAGTTTCTCTCTTGTTTAGACATTAAACACAAAGCTCTTCAAATTTCTTAGGACATTGATCATTAACACAAAAATAAACAATATTTTCATGATGTCCAACTCTAGAACACTAGGGTAATGCTCTTATATAAATGAAAATGTAGTTACTAATAGAAATTAGGTATCTTAAATTCCATAAAATTTTTATTTTTATTTATTATAGATTGCATTAAATTTCTAAATAGTAGAGTTTAGAGAGAGATACTGCAAAAAAAAAATAAAAGAAGATAACAGAAATATTGTAATTTGAAAAATAGAAAAAAATAAATTAATATGTGATTAGGATGAGTATGAAATAATAGATAAGAGAGAGTGATAGAAAATGTATGAGATATTTAAAATGAAATATTGTTTGATCTAATTTGCTATGAAATGGTGATAATTTTATTTATTTTGATAATAAATCATTTCTTGTCTCCTTTGGCTTAATATCCTGCAACTGGATCAGTGATAACTAAAGGATTAAGTCATACAATTTACATCTAATATCAGTGACTTTTCCTTGAGTGTATGTTCTGATCTTGTAATTAATGGATAATCTGTTTTGAACAGCAGTTGGAAGTCCACTGATTGTATATGAAATATTAAATACTTTTTGACTCCTTCTGCTGAATGAAGGAAATTTCTGATGAGTGTAATTCCACCTCTCTTGAAAGCGAATTCGATACACATATATAAAATTTATATTTAATATTAATATATATTATCATTTGTATCTCTAAAATAATGGATGATCTTTATCTTTGAAATCAGGTAGATATGTGCATTTTTCCTTAACTGGATAATTTTTCTAAATTAATATATAATATAGATACAGGATCATATGCAGTACCAAAGAATCGATCAATCTTGGCATCACCATAATTTACTACATAATAGAGATGATGTCTATAATGATCAGAATGATCATATTTACTAAATTAAATATAAAATAGACATATACCCTCCATCATGAGCAAACAGATCATTAAAAGCCATAAATCCTCCATAAATCATTGTTTACATAGGATGAATTGGTAATATTAATTCAGCAGTATGAAGTAGAAGATTACCCTCAATGAATCCTTCTAAAGGATGAGCTGCACAATAACAAAAAGCAGTAGGTTCTTTAAAGGAATGATGAACACTATGAATATATTTATATAAATATTTCAAGTGAAGCATTCTATGAGTCCAATATCCTACACCTAAATAAAAAATATAAAATTTGAGAATACATGTAGTCCATAACCAATGAAATATTACTCCATACAAGAAATGAAATACTGTGTAATCATGAGTTTCAAAATATTTGTAATAAGGTGTGTATGGATATAAATAATAATAAAAGGACTTTTAAGAATATTATATTATTTATACCATTGATACAAAACATCCAAATATAAGCTAAACAATTCCATATCGTATTTCTCTTAAAATATTCTATATACGTAATTTATTCTTTGGCATAGGATTGTAATATTCAACAATTGAACAAGAGATTAAATATTGCATGATTCCTCCTATTGATCCAAAAATAATCTTCATAGTCAAAAAGAATACCTTTTCTATATATTATTAAAAATTGTTAACGTATATATGTTTTTCTCCAAAACTTATATCTTCCATTTGACATCTAACAACTGGGATTACAAATGCAAGAATAATTAAAAAGATTCGTCTGATTTTAATCATTTAACAATATTATTAAAATATAATGTAATTAAAAATTTATATATGAATGTATTATCATTAATAATAATAAATTTGAATTCAAATGCTTGATAATTGGTACATTTCTTACCTTTATTAAATAGTGATTCTATTAGAAAGGGTTTGTTATATACTCCAACAATGGGAGAACACATTGAAGATGAAGTAGTGGTATCTTTTGAACAGAAACGAGGAATCAATTATCAACATGAATATATGAGACTCTACATTGCAAATGTAGTTTTGACTTAATAACTTAAAGAGCTTCTTCAAGAGAAAGGTGATTTAATTTCTAAAATCAATAGATTAGAAGTATCTATTTATCCATATTATTATCTAGGAATCAGAAATTTGCAAAACTAATTCTAGAAAGCAAGACTATGAAGAATTAAAAAAAATAGAGTAACCCTGTAAAAAATAAATAGGTATCTCTTTCATATTTATCATTAGTGTAGAGGGTTCAACTAAACATCATGATGAAAATGTTGTTCACAATCATCAATATTAAACTCGAAAATTAATTAAAAAAAATTGAAATTTTAAACATATTTATCTATGAAATCACTCATCATCTTTTATTATTGCTTATTACTTACAAGTTGTTGAATTTGAAATCATTGATTCTTTATTTGAAAATAATAAAAAATCTACTTCATTAAGTAACTTAGGTAATTTTAAAGATTTTATCACTGTCCTAGGACTCATTGAATAATTTGGTATTTCATATTTAGGACGACTTGCACTAGGAAAAACCTTAAATTCAATTTTATTTATTACTTTATTCATTATACTTATTGCTGTCCCTTTATTTGTATCTAAATCAAATAAACCTGTATTAATATTTAAAGGTTCACTGAATTTCAAATTTCTCTTTAAAGTTTCTATATTCTTTTTAAAATTATAATGTGCTTTATTTATATGGCCTTTTCCTTATAAAAATTCATAACCACTACGTTTTGGTTCATTTCCTACTCTATCTACAGCATTCTTTGCTTTTTTTATAACAAAATCAGATATCTTATCATCTTCCTCTAAAAATGGAATATCTCTATAAGGGATTGGAGGAGATAATGATTTAAGCTCTTTTATCAATGATAAACTTTTTGATTTACGAGAAAGATTCGTTTAATCAATTTTAATTAATTTTTAAATAGCTCCTCCTTTTTTAAAATATTATAAAAATCTATCCTTATCTAATGAAAATACTTATGCTTTTTAACTCAAACAAATAGCTCTATGTTCTCTTACCACACCTTTAATAACTTCTTCATGACCAAAAATCAATCCTAATGTAATTATTCCAGTTCTAACTCTTTCATATTTTTTATCATTTTTCTTAAAGAATTTTTATATAGTTAAACTATTTTCAGTTACCAAAGTGCCTACCTCTATATTTTATGATATTTCAATTTCTCCATTTTTAACAATGTATATTTTACTAATTACCATATTTAATAATAATACTTAGAAGGTTAATGTTCTTTATAAATGACATCAAACATTTTATAATCTTCAAAAGTAAAATGATAATAAATTTAATTTAACATTTATTCATTCCATTCTGCAAAAGCTGGTACTTTTTATAAAAAGGCCACATTTGTTTACTGAATGTATTCATAATATGATGATAATAATTTATTAAATTATTCCCTAGATACAGTAGCAAAATTTGTATCTTCTGTTGCAACAATGGTGGCTGTTCTTGGAACTTATTTCGTTAAAGCAATTTCTCCAAAACTATCACCTGCTTTCATTAAACCTACTTTTTAAAGTGTAGGATATTGACATTCAAGAAATTCAGCATCTGTCATATTTGCGTAAACTTCGTCTAAAAGTACTTAATTTGTTTCAGTGAAAAATGTTGTTTGCTTTTTGAATCTCTTAGATTTCATCATAGTTTATTAATGTTTCAATGTTGCCTTTCTTGTATTCTGCCTTCTTAATGTTTCCTCTTACTTTTTTTCTTCCTCTCCTATCTAATTCCCATCTTATAATCCCTTTCTCTATATAAGAACCCAAACACTCCCAGAAAGTATTATATAAAACTTCTTACCAATGTCACCTAAATTGAACACAACTTATCTAGCTTTAATCATCTCATGAGATAGTTGTCTATATAAGTTACTTACCATCTCTGAACCCATCTATTACTCTAAATCTTAAAAAAATTTGAATGAAATGAATGCTTTCCTTGTCATGTCAACTTCTTAATTGCTTCTCATACTCTAATCCTTTTATAGAATTTCAATTATATAATTTAACTGATCTTAATTACCTAAATCTATATCCGACTTTTTAGTTGTTAATAACTTTTATTTCATTATTGAATCAATTATAACAATTAATAAATAACAATTTAATTTATTAAAATATATAATAATCATCATACAAATGGATTTATCTTTTTATTATCCTAAAACTATTAGCTATATCTATATGAATAACTCTTTTCTAAGTTTCACTCTCACAAAATCTTAAAAACAATCCTGCTATTTGAACTCTTCTTATTTATGAATCAAATTATCAAAATTCTTACTTTTATTAAAAGCCTATGATTATGAACTTATAAAATTTAAATTAGTAAAATTATTTTGGTTAAGTATTTGGCTTTACACATTAACTTAACTGTTTCTAAAGTCACATATTACTAATAATCCATCAATATAAAACATAACAATTCTATATTAAGGTAAGGAAAAATTATTACCAAAATTATTTTTAATTCCTTATGGTATTTAAAAAATTCTAAGATTCATTAAGTATATATAATATGTAATTCCAAAACCATTTTATCTTTTTTTGTTATTTTCTTCATAGAGCTATTAAATCTTCTAATTTTTTGGTATTTCAATCTTTTAATTTTTTCTCATTATATTTTTGGCATTCATAAGTAATTCAAAATTGTTTGTTATAAACTAAAATATAAATTATTCTTCTTGCAGAATCAAAAATATAATTTATCTTTCAAACTCAATTTTCCAATAATTTATTCATTTTATTTCAAATTTCAGATAGTTTAGATTGAATTCATAACTGGACAACCAACTTTGAGTCTAAAAATATTTAATATAATACTCTTCTAATTTTTCTGATAATCTAAAATTCTAAGGTTATTCTTTTTAACGCATATTAGATTTCTACTTTTTTAATTCTTCAACTTCTAGCTTATAATTATCATAGACAAATCTAATTTCAGAAAACTTTGTTATTCGCTATAATTTTTATTTAATTCATTTTCTTTTGAAAGAACCAATTCTAAAAGATTTTCAACACATAGATTCCTATTATTTTATTTGTTTCAGTTACCTTTTCAAATAATTTCTTTATAATTTAACTGATCCATGAATTTCTAAATCGAATAATTAATTGTACATAAAAACAATGCTGAAATATTACTAAAATTTATGACAGTCTCTTTATGTATTAATCTTTTGTTTTTTAATTAAGGATCTATTATAACTTAAATTCCGAACCATTCTTTAATCTAAAAATGTAAATTATTTGTTACTTTCTATCCTGTTCTTGATGTATAGTTTGACATTTGAATATATTTTATAAAAATTATTAATACTTTATATATATATATATCAAGTTAACTAATCAACCTGTTCCAAAATTGTGTGTTTAATTAAATCTTAAAGAATATTAATTAAAAATTACCTTGAAGATTAACATTAAATTTATTACAAGTACCATTTCTGATGCTCATTTTATTCAAATAATTTAGTATTTTGTTCTTCTAACTATGAAATTTTGTGAGTAAGTTCATTAAATTCATTCATAAATTCATCTAAACTTGATTAATAATTGAAAGATTATTATTCCATTTCTTGATTGACAATCTAAAATAAAATTTAGATTACTAATATACTTGAATTTATTCCTAAATTAGATTGTTTTTTTTAATTGTCTCAGAAAGATTATAACAAATGTCTTCTTTTTACTTTTTGATATTGTTTATAACTTATTATAATTCTTTATTTGATGGTTGATTTCCTCCAAAGGATTATCCTGGAACTCTAACTAAATTTTCTTTATCTGAAACGTATCTATTTCTCAAATTAGAACCACTTGAATTGATAACTTTCTTTTGTAATTTCTCTTCAACTCTTCCAGTATAATTTTATAAGGATTATTGAGATGGTTCTTAAATAAGTATACTGTGTTCATAGTAACTAATGTTATTGCTTCTAGTTGGAGTACAATCTCCCCTTTATTCAATGCAAATTGGTTTGAAATTCTGTGGTGTTAATGAAGTTCTACTTTTTGGAACTTGCGCTCTAACGAACATTTATTTAATTATTATGTACACTTAGTTCCAAAATTAAGGATAATAAAATTCCAATAAGCTAAGATTTAATTGGAAAATCATTTTAATCTTCCTACCATTTGCTTTAGGAATAGCAATCTATTTTTCCATCACAAGTGGATAACCAAAAAATGACCCTGACTAAATTATAAAAATTAAACAATCTCACTCAAAAATTCCATATTTCTACATCTCTACCTATGAAGAATGTAATAAAGAACTTACACTTAGTATTGATAATTATACTACTTCATTTGAATTACCAAAATAATATCCATTTGCAAATACAAAATGCGAAAGATCTTAAAAATTAAAATATACATATAATTTAGACTAGACATCAACAGATGTTTTTTAACTCTATAAATAAGATAAACAAATAATCCAAATTATCTAGATTTCTTACTATTAGGAATTTTCTGATGTTCTATTTAATCTCACTGATCAAGTGATTTTAGGATATGAATAAGCTACTTTAAATTGTCCTGCTTACTTTATCAGAACTAAAAACAACTTATTTTATTCATTTGTTATATATACATCATCTAAAATTATCTCATTTTATTAAAATTCACTTTTATCAATTAAAATTTATGGAGGAAGAATAAATATTAAATTCTTTCTTTATGATGAACCTGAATAAATTATTAAAGCATATCATTAATATATAGGTGGTTACAAATTATTTCCATTCTGGACTTTAGGCTACCAATATTATGGACCATGGATAGAATAAAAAGATTTAGAATATTTAGAATAGAAATCAATTCCTTTAGAAACTATTTGGATTGATGAACAAAAAAATCATTATTTACCAGATAATTACAGAAAAATTAAAATAACAACTCCCACAGTTAATTTAAAGACTATCGATAAAAAATATTTAATAAAGAATTCAAATAAAGAACCATATGAAGGTTGTGTAGATGATGAAAAAGTTAATTATATTGATTACAATGTTTAAAATACTATTTAAAAGGAAACTTAATTACATCCAATTTCTATTTATTCAGGAGTTTTATTGAAGTCATTTGTAAATTATTAAATTAATGAGAGTGGTAATTGTGATGAAAAAAATATTGGAATAGCTGAGGATGCTTTTCATTTTAGCAATAAAAATCCTGTTTTATTGGAAAAAAAAATTACTGAAAAATATTTTAAACCACTAAATACATTTGCTCAATCAAAATAATATAGTGAACATTCTAATTATGTAAAATTAATAATGAGTGAATCTGCTTTTTTTGGTTAAGGTTAATTTAGTGGTTAGATTATAAATTCTGTTGATCTAGAATAAACTATAAGTTATTTAATTTATAATAACTTTTTTGGATTACCATACACAGGAACATATGGATGTGATTAAAGTTAATCATCTTTATCATGGTGTGCAAGATGGTTAAGTATTTAAGCTTGGATGCCCTTATTTATGAGTTAAAGTTCATCATAATTTCACTTTTCTAATCACCCTGAATATTTTGAATAAATTCATTTAGAAGTAAAAGCCAGATAATAGTTAAATAAATGGATATTTGCTTAATTTTTGAATAATTATGATGATAAAATAAATGCATTCAGTGGAACAATAATATAACCTATATGGTGGTTTAATACTTCTGATACTAAAGCATATAAATATGAAACTCGGGAATTCCTTTTTGGACAAGTTTTTTTGATTGCTCCAATTATTGAAGATCCTGAAAATGAATATAACACTGAATATGATATATATTTTCCTCAGGGAAGCTAATGGATGGAGACAAAATATGGAACATTATTTAGTGGAGGTACTTAAGTAGATTTTAAAATCTTATCAAATACATAGACTCCAAGTTTTTAAAAAGCTGGGTATATTATAAATAATATTTTTATTAGGTCAATAGTTTTCAAATAATATGATATAAATTTAAAAATGAATGAATTAAATAATATCTATTCATTGTATGTTGTTTTTGATAGATAATAAAATGATGGAGAAGCAGAAGGGATTATGATTACTCTCTAAGATTTAAGTGATGAAAATGTTAAAAAGAAATGTTTTGGAAATGGTAAAAATTGTTTAATGAAAGTGAAAATAAGATATGTCTTTGATTAAGAAAAATATTCAGAACATTACTTTATTAATTGTTAAGGAATTAATAAAGACACTGTTTTTGAGAAAGTACAAATTAATACACTTCATCTGTATCACTCAAAGTTACATTTCTAAAATCAAATAACTTTGAAGAATCCAATAATAGTGAAGGAGAGTTTCAAATTTGAATATGATTTATCATAAAATATTTATTGAAAAATAATTTAGTTGTAATTTTCAATTTACAATTGACTATTCTTTTTTCTTCTTATACTTTACCCAAAATATTTATCTATTTATAGGTAAGTATTCTTCAAAGAAGTAGTCTACTTGATAATAAAAGTCAGATCTAACTATGATAATTAGAATCTTTAAAATCAAAAAGCTTAATTAATTTATATTTATTACTAATATAATGGAACAACCACCTGAGTCCATATTTGCATCAATTGATAATTGCTTTGATCACTCCATAGTTTATTACTTCAGAATTCTAAAATGGAACTTCTTTCTAATGCTCATTTTGGGCCTTCTTCACTTACCACAATTAATATTTTGCATTACTGGTAATAGCATATTCAATCAATTCCAATTACAATTAGAAACTTTTACTGTTGCAAATATTGACATTTCAAATGAAACTGCTTTTCTTATTGGAGTTTTAGGAGATGCTATTGGTATTCTTCTCTACTTTTTGTCATTGCTCTATTTACGATACAAAGCTATCAATAAGGATTCCTAATTTAAGGTATCCAGTATTTCACCTTGGAGTGTTGAACTATCTGGATTTCCAACAGCTACTATAGATCCAGAAGACCTTCGATCAATTATACAATCAAATACACATGAAATTTACTTAGTTCGCAATTTCTAGGGTACTCTAAGTATTATGAAGAATAAGGCATTTAAGGAAAGGTAGATAAGATTAGAAAAAAAAAAATTAGAAGTATTTTCTAAGAGATTATCATAAGCAGATATGTATGTAAGATAAGACTTCATTAGAGTCTTGTCTGATGAACAAAAAGATATCACTAAAGAATTATCAGATAAATTTAATATTTTTTTAGCACCAGATGATTTAGAATCAATTAAGGCTTTTGTTGTTTTTAAGAGCAAAGTAGATCGTGATCTATTCTATGAGAAATATAATTAAGATTGTTTAGTTAGAAATGGAATTTATTTATTCTAAAATTAACCATAGGAATTGAAACTTAGAGGATTATATACTATAAGAGTAACAGAAGCTCCAGATCCAAATGAAATTAAATGGGAAAATATGGATTATTAAGAAAGAAACAATCTTCAAATAATTCTGATGCATCTTGCAGTAGCTGTTATACTATTAGCCCCTTTAATAGTGTTTGAAAATATGGCTTTAAAGAATGCAAGGAATAATACAGTTAAATGCACAGAGTATTGTTTAGATAATGATTTTACAAGAACTGTTTATTATATAATAACAGGATTTTGGATATTAATAGCAGATGTGCTTGGATGGGTGTTTTTAGAATTAATAATAAATAGAGAAAAGTAAATTTATTTAGTATAAGAATAAAAAGTCATTCTGATTAGAATCATAGTCTATTTAATGTGTTACACCTTGCTTGTACCGATATTGATTTCATGGGAAACTATAGGAAACATAGTATTAGTTATTTAAAGTTACACATCAATAGAAAAATCATTAATTTTTAGTGATGATTTAGATAGAAAATGGATTATAAATCATGGGTTAATATTTTTATGGGTATCTATATTTTACACTCTTAAATTAATAATTTTAAGTTTAGTATCAAAATGTCAATGTATAACAGGGGGAATTAGAGATTAAGAAGAATTATAATTAATTGGTTCTTTATTGACAGATGAAAATGATGAAGAAAGATAAAGATTGACTGGTTAATAAAAAACTGCACCAAATAATAATTAATCTCATTAAACTCTCTTTTTATTAAACTTAGATGAGAGTGTAAACTACAATATACAATCAAGATAAAACTTAGATGTCAAAACAGGAAAAGCATTTAGACGTGACTCTCCTTTAATAAATAGTAATCCTACTTTTAAAACTGGACTTAGATATGCCAAATTATTGTTTAGCATATTCTTATCAATAACTTTATCAGCAGGATTACCTTTATTGCCTTTATTAGGAGCCTTTCAAATAGGATTATAGTATATTTATGATAAGAATATGTTATTGCGATATCATTCTTATAATGAAAAACAATAGGCAAAGTTATAGGAATAATTAAAATCAGTTGGAGTTATCACATTGAAATTTATCCACTTTTTCCTAGTATTGCATTTAATCTTTAGTGTCTTGATTTATGGATATCCATTTATTTATACTTAAAATGGAATGGGCATTTCATCAGACTGGAATGATGCTTCAAATAAATTATTATATAAAATAAGCACTGTTATTCCTCTTACTTTGTTATTAATAATTCTAGTATTGGCACTTATAATCGATTTAGTATTTTTTGGAATTAATAATAATTGGAAAATTTAGTCTGATTAAATAGGATAAGATGTGTCTTAGAACCTTGAGGATCATATCGGTGCATTGAAAGAATAAGGCAGTGCCATTTCTTACAATTTAAAACATCATGATGAGTTTAAGGATATTTTACTAAGTCAAAAATAAGAAAGTATAAGAGCTACTTTAAATTAATTCAAACATTGATATATATATATAATAAAAAATAATGAGTTTGATTAAATAATAGTGTTGTGAAGTGTGTAGTATTGTGTATTTATGAAGTGATAATAATTGGATGATATTATAGTATTTAAATAATTAAATAATGCCAAGACATTCTTCTAGTTCAAGTAGGAGCCATAGAAGTAAATAAAAATAATTGAAATATGGATAGAAAAGCATAGTAAGAAGCATCGTAGATACTCAAGTTCTTCTTGTTCATCTTCTTCAGATTCATCATCTGAGCGTCATTACGAAAGAAGAAGGAGAGTGCATCATAGTAATCGTCGTTCAAGATCACCTAGACCACGTTCATCGAGTTCAATAAAGAAGGTGTTTATGAATGTATAAATAAAAATGAATAATGTTAGCCCATTTAATCCAAATCAAGCGCAGAGACAATCAAAGAATATAGGGCTTAACATAATATTTTTATTCGTTCTTAACATGTAAATGTCCCAGATCCTATCATGAGATTTGAGGATGTTTAATGTTTTCCACAAATATTGATGGATTTATTGTTAAAGGCCGGTTTCAAAGGACCTACTGCAATATAAGCATAAGGATGGTCGATAGCATTAACAGGACATGATCTAATTGGAATAGCATAGACAGGTTCTGGTAAAACACTTGCCTTTCTTTTACCAGCGATTGTCCATATTTTAGCATAAGTTAGATCCCATGATGCAAAATGTTTAATATTGGCACCAACAAGAGAATTGACATTACAAATATATGAACAATTTTAAAAATTTTCATTGGGATCTTAACTTTATGCAGCATGTTTATATGGAGGATAAGATCGCTATATATAGAAAAGTTAATTAAGAAAAGGCCCTTAAGTTTTGATTGCTTGTCCAGGTCGTTTGATTGATCTATTGGATTAGGGTTGTACCACCCTCAAATAGATTAGTTTTCTAGTACTCGATGAAGCTGATAGAATGCTTGATATGGGTTTTGAACCATAGATTCGTAAAATTGTTGATCAAATACGACCATAAAGATAAACTATGCTTTTTTCAGCTACCTGGCCTAAGGAAGTTTAAAAATTAGCATTAGATTTTTGTAAATAAGAACCAGTTCACATATAGATAGGAAATGTAGAATTAACATCAAATAAGATGATTAAACAAATAGTTTACGTGATGAAAGCTATTGATAAAAATTAAAGGTATAATTAAACTATTGATGGTTCAAAATATATATACAAGATCATCAATATCTTTGTTATTTCAAATATATATTAAGGTTACTTTATTTGTTGAAAGAGATCGCATAGAAAAAAATACTAATCTTTTGTTCCACAAAGAAAGGATGTGACTAACTTTAAAAGACTTTAGATCGAGAAGGTATAAGATGTCTGGCAATACATGGAGATAAGAAATAAAGTGTAATATATAGATATTAGAATTTATTAGGAGAGAGATTATGTAATGAGTCATTTTAGAAATGGAAGATCAACTGCTTTAATAGCAACTGATGTAGCATCAAGAGGATTAGATATTAAAGATATAGAAATAGTAGTCAATTATGACATGCCTAAAGTTATCGAAGATTATGTACATAGAATAGGTCGTACTGGTAATCATTTTTATTTATATATTTATATAGGTCGTGCTGGTGCTGTAGGTTAATCTATTTCATTTTTTGCTTCAGATGAAGATGCTAGGATGGCTAAAGATCTTGTTGAAATACTTAGGGAATCTTAAAATGATGTTCCTTATGATTTAAGAAGTCTTGTTGATTAAAATAATAAAGGAAATAATTATAATCCTTATAGAAGATGGAATTCTACAGGTAATAGACATATTCAATAACCATTCATTTAACATTAGCATCAAAATTAACATTCAAATTAACATTAACCATCTCATTATCCATCCTCATGGTAATTTTAAGCATTCAATCCATAAATCCTTTAATAGATTAATCCATATCAAATTTGATGTTTTTAATATATATCATTATATAAATTGTATATTCATTTTATGACTTCTTTTTTTATTTTTTACCTTTTAACTAAATTATAATTACTAATTAAAAATTATTCAATGTTACATAATTCCAATCAATAAGCTGCTAAAAGTTTGTAATGCCTCTAATTTTTATATTAGATTAGGTAATCGTCAAAAAAGATTTGAGCATACGATGAAATCAATGTAAAAAATTAAAACATTTGTTGATCTTACTTAAAGACTTAAATTACTCAATCCACTTTAATTTAAATAAGTTCAAAACATTATCCAACATTTAAAATAATAATCAAAATTAAAATAATTCTTCAAAAAAGATGATGATGAAAAAAACCATATTATTGCAATCTCTAAATAATTAGAATTAGAAATTGATATGCTTAACAATATAGAGAATGATGAAGAAAAATAAAATCTAATCCTAGATATTCTTTAACTTGATTTCTCTCCAAATGAAATTGCAACCATGGTATAAGAATCTTCCATGACACTTGATACACATCATAATTTACATAGAATTTTAGAAACCATTAATAAACGCAACCTAAGAAAATAATCAAAAAATTAACTACTTGATTAAATCAATACTCTAAATTTTTTATCAGACATTAATGATGATTCCTCAGATTTCTATAAAGAAACTATCAGAAGTTTCAACTAAAAAAGAAATGAATAATAGAGCAGTGAATTATCTGTCAATGAAAAATTTGAACTTCTTAAAAAATATTTACTTTAAAAAGGAATATAAATTGAAAAGAAAGAAAAAGTGCCTCATCAAGAATATTCCAAATTTTATGCTTAATAAGCAAACAAATTAATTAAATCAACAAAACTTAAATAATTAAAATAAATCCATGTTTCTAGTCCAAAAGCAGGATCTATATCACCAGAAATATTACATCCTTAATAATATCATACAAATTAATATTTAAAAAAAATGGAGAAATTAGAAATTAATTATTAAACAAGTAATAATATTTCTTCTACTACACTAAACACTCCTTAAATTACTCCAAGTAAATTACTCAAATAAAAATCAGAAGAATTCATACCATCTTAATAATAATAAATATAAACTGAAAGAATTATTACACCAAAAAGAAAAAGTAATCATTAAGTTATCTCAACTTCTAAAACCATTTTGCCTTCTCCAATTGAAAATGAAAAAGAAGAACAACATATCAAAATTAATTAATAAGTTAGTTATTTTCATAAAAGTATAGATTAACTTAGAGAATTTTAAGCAAATACTAAAGCTGTTCAAACATTTTTCAGAATGGAAAATAAGGATTGTTTACATACTATGAGAGATATGGAAAAAATATTAAAAAAACCACTCAAATAACATTTTAATGAATTTATGACTGTTCATTAAGAAGAAAATGATGGAACTGATTGTTTAGGAAAGAGAAAAAAAAATATGAAAAGAAATATAAGATTGAATAAGATTTTTAAATCTGAATTAGAATGAATTTATAATTTATACTATTATTTTAATATTGATTTTATTGAAATTCTTATAATAATATATTATTTATCAAAACTTGAAACAATGTTGTTCTTCTACTTTAAAAAACAAATTAGGCATGTTAGTAAGTTCATTAAAATCTTCATTTATAATACCTAAATCTATTATTAATATAATACCAAATACAAATGGAGTTTTAATTATCAAACCTTCTGTATTTTCAATATCCATCATTTTAGGTCGATATTCTGTACTAAATCTTCCAACCCCTAGAATATTTTCTTTTACTTAAAATTTGCAATTCAAAGTAAATTGAGGAATATTTAGATTTTAATCTAAAGGAGTTTATGTTCCACATTACATCAAAATTTATTAAACTTATTTAAAACTCAATTCACCTTCATCTTTATAAGATACTTAAATTATATACATTCAAAAATAAATATAGTAGCATTCCCTTAATCAGTAGCTATTATATAAACTTTTATTTCTTCGGATTCTGACATGAAAACCTTTGCATCATCTACATTCTTTTCTGGTCTAAAACAATTATATATCAATTGATTATCATGAGCTAATTTAAATTTAGACCATCTGTAACATTCTTTACTAAAACTACTAATAACCTTTTCTGGTAATTGTTCTATTTCATTATTATAAGGATTAATTTCATCCAAATGCTCAAAGGATTCATATATATAATTATGAAAAGATTATTTAGTTTATTCCTATAGTTTAATACCCTTATATTTATATCCCTATGCTATAATTAAAATGTTGATACTGATCGAACAAGCGTATTTTTAACTTAATTGACATCTTCATCTTAAAAATCTACTATTGTATTTAAATTTGTCAAACAACTTAATGAATAGAATTAGTTTTCATTTTATAATATATTGTTTCTTTCTATTGTAAAGAATAGATGTTAAAGAAATATTGGATCACATTATTGAGATATCTTAAATTCTTCAGGCCGCCTAATTGCTAAAATAAACCTCTTTTATACCCATAACTGTAAATCTAGTTTCAGAATTCAAACTCTAAACAACCTTCCACTTAAAACTCAATTCTTTTAATTTTGTACTAATCTCTTTATTTGCCTAAAGAGAATCATTTTAATTATAATGGTATAAAGATATTCTGATTTCTTAACAAAAATCAATATTCCAAATAAATTATAATATCATTTTCAGATATTCTTAAAACTATTAGGGATTTGCAGTTGAAAAATGACTTATCATTAATTTCCTTTCTTATAAAGATGGTTCTAAAAAGCATTATACTAATCCTAATAATTTATTATTTTCATATATTCCTAAACAAAAGCTTTCCTCTTATTATTCATATTAAATTAACATTTATTAAATTTCTCCTCTCCATGATTTTTTAAAATCATCACTAATATTCACTAAATAATTTTCTACTAACTTATCCCTTAAATAACATTTTTGTATCTAAATTTAATAATCATTTTTTGAAGTAAGTTAATTTGAAGATGCATTAGAATTAATTTTGCTATCATTATTCTTTTAATCAATATTTTATTAAATAGATTATTTTTCAGATTATTTAGCTTAATCATTTTACGTTTAATTAGGTTAAATTTTATTTAACTATTTTTTTTCTTGATTATTTATTGTTTATATAATAGGTTATTTTTATTAAATATTTTTAGAAATAGAGCCAGATGTTTAATTTGTAAAATCAGTTGGATCAAGTTATTTGATAATTGGTCTCTAAAAAATTTTTAATACAAATTATACATTTTAATTCTAAATGATCTCTGGTCTTTTAGGTAGTCTAAAATGATTAATTTATATAGTTTTTTCTGGACCCATTCTCATTTAATCTTTTGAATTTATTTAATTTTAAAATGACTTATCTTCCTTTGTAATTGAAGACATTTCTTGTTAAATAAGATATTCACAATTCTTAATTCTTTTAAGAAGGGGTTTAGATATAAATTAAACAATTTTATTAGGATCATTAGTAGGTTTAGTAATAGTAACAAAAAATGGATCAGATTTATTTGAAAATTAATAAAAGTATGAGAGTACTGAATTTTATATGTATAATACATCTTTTTTCATCTATTGATAAATAATTAATGCACCTTGATTAAATAGTTTTCATTAAAATAAATGTAGGGTAACTAAATACTCTCTGAAGAATGAATATTCACTAAAAACTTCATAAGGTACTACCTCCAACCAATTATTGACTCTACCACACTTATTGAAAGTATTCTTAAATGAGTGATTAATTCTGCACTTTTAGATATTAATTATTAATCTCTAGGATTCTATTGAATTAATTAAATATGATTTAATATAACATTAAAGCATTTTTCTCTGGCTTCAATTGTTTACATACATTACTTATGATGATATGAATAAGAATTTTACTTAAATATGTGATTTTTTTAATGATATTTCTTCTATTTCAAATTGAATAGCTTATTTAATCTTTGGAAGTGTTCTAAGACACATTAAGAATAGTTTTCTAAATATATTGAAGTTACATTACCTATGAAAATCTGGAATATTGTGAAAATCTTAAACTTCAATCAATTTTGAATAATATTGAGTAAGTGTTGGTTAAGATTTCTCAACTGATTAATTCTTTATTTATTTTTAAACATAAAATCTATTATTCCAATTTTCTTCCTAAAAATAATTATATTTTATTTTTATATACTTTTTTCTTTAATTAATTCATCACAATAAGATGTCTAGATTTTGGCATAATAGAATTATCAATTTTAGATTAACGATGTTCTACGAATTATGAGTCAATCATAGAAAATTATTATATAAAATAAATAATTATTTATCATTTTAATTGATAAAATATATAACTGTTTTAGTTAAATTCTTTAAGCATTTTCTTTATTTCTTACTTTAATTCTCTTGAAGTAAGTTATGATTAATATTTTCTTAAGGTTAGTTTTTTCATAATTTAAATGGCCTGAATAAATTTTTATAGTTTCCCTCTATTTTTATTATATGATTTACAAATTAAGATTTAATATGTAATAATTTAAATAATTGAAATGAAGGCAATGTGTCCATTACTGAGAAGAGATAGTTTTAGTGAAGAAGAGCAGCTATATTAACACAGTGAGTGTGATTAAGTTGAATTTTAGCTAACAAATAACTGGTGTTAAGCTGAGGCGGACACCGATCCAAATATATTAGCAAAAAAAAGTCCCATGATAAAAAAGAAAAAGCAAGGCCGATACAAGAATGTGCCCTATACATTTGGTCGACATTTTAGAAATTGGATTGAAACCGAAGTAGGATCCATACAATGTCCAGTGGTTTAAAAATTCATTTCTAAACGTAAATCAAATCCTAGGTATCATGACAGTTTTAAAGATTTTAATGATCTATTCCAAAACTCAGGTATAGGTAGATAACTAGGTTAACTTTTCTTTGGGTAAAAGAAATGGGTTTAATATCTCTTAAGTAATGAAAGAGTTGATGGATTTCAAATTTATTTTGAAGTAGAAAGATCTTACTATGAAGCTGCAATATAAGGAACCAAAATCACTGAATAAAAGGTGAGAAATATTTGACATATTTTATTTATTTATTATTTAAATAAAATGTACTAAATTTATTTGACTTTTTTAAGAGACATCGATGTTGAGTTAAAGAAAACTCTTGAATCTTCAACATAAGTTGTTAACGATCATATTCTATAAAGAACATGCAAATAATAAGATTTAGAATTTGTAGCTAAAGTAAGCAATTTCAAATCTATTAGAAATTAGAAGATTTCAAATTTCAAGTTGATAAATATGGCATATAAGCAATAGAAAAGTTTAGAGATAATTTAAAAGCTAATATAGAAGGACCAATCTAAGCCTAAACACATTTTATTGCAATGAAAAATCAAAGGTAAAAAAGCAAGTCTTATAAAATTGATGATCTAGAAAGAGTTATTGATACTAGAATATAAGTAATATATTAATCTAATTAAGGAAGCAAGTGAAAAGTAGAAACAACAATTAATTCATTATTTAGACACTTTTGAAGAAGAATTTAAAATTCAAAATTCAGAACTGGCTAATGAATATTAATAAATTGAAAAAGAATTGCAAGAATTACAATTAAAGGATTGATTCCTTCTAATTTTATTATATTATTCAAAATATTATCATTGATTATGCAGAAATCTTCTTGTTGTATTAAGTACCTAAAATTAAGGATCAGATCATGCATTAATTGTAATCATTTTTATAGACTTTTCATATTCATTGTTTTGATTTTTGTTATCTAAATTCTTTAAAAACTTAAATAGGTAATCTTTGTAAAGATTAGAATTCTATTTTGAATCAGAAATATGATAAAATTCAGTTTTTTATATGTGTCCTGAAATTTTTTTACTTTTTTAGCTTATTTATAAATTTTCTATTTCTAACTATTTTTGAAGATCTAAATCAACCTCTAAAAGTGTTTGATTTTCTTTCTCTTACATTTAAGTTGGAATCAATGAAATACTATTAGAAATTTAAGTATGAAGTATATCAAATTGACTAAATTAAAGAAAAGAAAAGGAATATATAAATTGTATTTGTTTAGACAGCTTAAAAAGTTTACTCAGCCAATAATTTATATGTTTCCAATTATGTTTTTAAGATTTCTTAACATTTTAACATTTTCATCGGCAAAAAATACCTTGAATCATTTTAAGTTCAGCCTAGATTGATAATTTGTTTTATAGATATAAAATAAGTTCCTATTCCATGAAATTTGTTTTCTTATATAAATATCTCCATTTTTCTACATCTATCCAATATCTGAAATGTATTAATCAAGAAAATCACTATTTTTTTATCTGAAGGAAACATATTTTCAATTTCTAATCCAAATGGTTTTCCTCTTTTCATTTTACCAAGATGAGTTTCTGTAATTCCTATTGATGTACATTTATTTCTGTCTAATATCTCATCTAA